ATGGATTACTTCAGTAAATGGCCGGAGGTTTATGCTATCCCAAATCAAGAAGCCAGGACAATTGTGGATGTGTTCAGCAAAAATTGGATTTGTCGCTATGGTGTTCCATCTGAGGTTCATTCCGATCAAGGTAGGAATTTTGAATCAGCGATCTTCAAGGAAATGTGTGACTCCTACGGAATTAAGAAAACCAGAACGACGCCCCTACATCCACAATCAGATGGCATGGTGGAAAGATTCAATCGCACCCTTGAAGAACATCTACGGAAAGTGGTGGACAGTGGCCAACGAGACTGGGATGAGCATATTCCGAAGTTTTTATTGGCTTATAGATCGGCCATTCATGATTCCACATCCCGGACCCCAGCCAAAGTTCTGTTCGGAAATGAATTAAAGCTACCTGGCGACTTGATATTCGGTGCTACCCCAAATGATGTGAACCAAGATGAAGACAGTCAAAACTCTTTTAGTAAAGTCCACGATGCAGTTCGCCATCGAATAAAAATGGTTAGCAACCGCATGAAGGCAAGGTACGATCGAGCGGCAAATACCGATGGGTTCCAAGAAGGGCAACTGGTACTATTGTTCAACCCACAACGAAAGAAAGGACTATGCCCCAAATTGCAAACGCACTGGGAAGGACCCTACAAGATTGTCACGAAAATAAATGATGTGGTTTATCGCATCCAGAGGAGCGACAGTCCCAGGTCGAAGATGAAAGTTGTACATTTGGAGCGGCTGACCCCCTACGGAACGGGAACTGTGCCTATTCGGGACGAACAGGCTTAAGCGGGGGGCAATGTTACGAATATAACTTTAGATTTAAGTTAATTTAGATGAATTCCGTTAATTTAAGAATTTGAATTGTAACGTAAATTTCTACTACGCAGTTTATTTGAATAACCTCACAACAACAACTACTGTATAGATTTCTCTACATCCTTCCATTTCCTCTTTCATTTTCTATTTTGTTATTGTCGTACAATTCTTGTTAAACGTCATCATGGATGATCGCTTAATTCCCCTTTCTTTGTTACCCCCTCGCCTGTATATGTGTTGTTATTGTTTACTCAATGTAAGTTTGTATGTGTTGTTGTTATTGTTTGCTCAATGTAAGTTTGTATGTGTTGTTGTTATTGTTTACTCAATGTAAGTTTGTATGTGTGTTTGTTGCATTGGTAGATTGTTCGTGATCTAGGCGTTACCAGATCGTCTAGAAACTTCTGTAGCGACAAGCGAGGCTCATATAAATAGGGGAAATGGAAAGGCAGTGAGTCAGTTGTGAATCAGATCGCGAATTGAAACCGTTGTGTAAAGTAAAGTGCAAAGTAAAGTTGTGCGAATAAAATCATTGTAATAATCGTAATCCGAAAGAACCTGCGTTTTATTTGGTACGAATTGTATCGGGAAATAAAACAACGTCTACACGGGATTTAGTAAAATCCAAGAACGTAACAATATTAATATGGAGGCCAAATACTATGCCATTAGTAGCTAGTTCCCTAACCTGAACGATGACACCATATAGCTGGAGTTTATTGTGACATCGGAATAATCAGAATATAATATTTGCACTATGGGTACCAACTGATAATTGGCAATTGGGCGCCACAATGAGTATTTGTTCAGTTACCAACACCTATAGATTCATAAACTTCAGAAAACGTTCCAACCAAACTGTTCGACTGAAAACTAAAATTATCGGGATTTCGTACAGAGCGTTAGAAGCGCGAGTTTTTTAATTTACCAGTTTTAATTTAACCCTCCAGTCAACAGGGACCACTTGCATATCGCTTGATGATGTAGGATCTTCAAGTAGGAAAACTACAAACTGTGCGATGCATATGAAATAAAGCGATAGTGATCCAACTACTCTAGGTGTGTCTTGGCACCTGCACCTGCTACAAGCTCATCTTGGTAAAATTCAAATGGAAAATGAGCTAGTCAAGACTGACAATAAACAGTGTACGACTGTCAGGACTACAGTTCTGGGAGGTGGCGACCTACATAGGACCCTTATTGCTATACACGAAAGTGTAGAGGAACTGAGTAGGGAACTCTTCGACCAACTGGACAGACTTGTACCGGAAGTGCAAAGTGGGGATACATTTCAGGAGGAACTGCCACAAAATCTAACTCTGACTGATGATGAACTGGTCGCCACGATGATTCCGGCTAAGTCTACACAGAATGATTACTGTGGTTAGTTACAACGAAGGAACTCTTCGACCAACTGGACAGACTTGTACCGGAAGAGCAAAGTGGGGATACATTTCAGGAGGAACTGCTACAAAATCTAACTCTGACAGATGATGAACTGGTCGCCACGAAGATTCCGGCTAAGTCTACACAGGATAATTACTGTGGTTAGTTACAACAAAGGAAGTTTAGGATCTGTTTACCAAAAGAATGCAAGTATGATTCCCACTGATCTTGTGTCGGAACATGCCGACAATAAGCTCCAAAAGCAGATCGCGACCGAATCGATGTCCGTCGATGGGGAATCTATCGAGACCTTAACAACGGTCAACGATTCAAAGGTAGGAACTGCCCGAGAAGTATACGATGCGAAGCTCTATAAACGTGCCGTATCGTATCTCCGCAAATTCGTAGGGCGAGATTCATCTCATATAGGGCAAAATGAAATTCGTAAGGAATTTCGAAAGAACCTATCCGCATGCATTTCATCGTGAGCTCCAGATGGAAAGGATCTTCCTCCCGAAACAAACAGGTACTCGAACAAAAACCTATAAGGAGAAGCCCACTGTATCTGGCAAAGGTGTGGAGCTGACTTCTGATCCGAAGTATAACCCGGGTCAAAGGGCAAAAGGAAAAGGCTCTTAAGTACACCACTAAAAAACTGACATCCATAAGGGTAATCGACGTGTGCAGGACTCTGAGTATAGACTCATGTTTTCACCTAGGTTAGGTTAGGTTTGGGGATGTGCAGTCACATGTGTGACTACAACACTCTGAGACCGGTTAGGTCCGTTGAGATCATCCACAAGAAGAGATACAGCGAAGTGAAGAGACCAAAGACAGATCTGTAGGGGAGAGAAAATTAGTAAATTAAAGGAGTGAAGAATGAATGAAGGTCGATGGCCCTATGAGTCAGACAGAATAAGCGTTACGTGACAAGTTTGTATGCTCCTAACCACTTTATGTTTCTAATTATGCTGTAGATTAGAGCAGGTTCGGCTGTTGAGAAGAAGCTGAGATTCGGTACAAAATGACAACCCATTAGTCTGTGTCGCTTGTAAGCCATAGCTGGGCAATGACACAGGAGATGCTCAATTGTCTCCGTCTCCTCCTCGTCAACACAGAGTCTACAGTAATCAGTTGCATCAAGATCCCATTTACTAGTAAAAGCCCTGATGTTGAAGTGACCAGTGATGATTCCCGTCATCACTCTAATTTCAGCTTTGCTTAGGTTCAATAGAGAGTGCGTTCTTTTGGTAGATAGAGTCGGCCAAATTGATCTTGACACGTTGCACCTAGGTTCGTTGTGCCAAAGTTCGCAGGCTGTTTCGTCAATGAATGCCTCAAAGTTGCTATAGAAAAGACATATGGGTGGTTTGATTGAGTCATCAGTTTCTAGATCGGTGGATTGAGATCCTCGTCTAGCTAGTTCGTCCGCTCTTTCATTACCCAAGATGTCACAATGTCCTGGTACCCAACACAACCGATAGTTTGTTTTCACCGATGTTTTCACCTAACCCCTGTAGAAAAGTGCCGTACCATTTTCACTATTATTAAGTTTTTTCACATCGAAGTGTCTATAATTTGGCATATCGGATTGATGATAAATAAAAACCTTCGTTCCAGAAATTATACAATAAATGTTTTAAAATGTTTTTATTTTTCTAGTTTTCCAACGTGGGTATCTTTAATTTTGAACCGCTTAATATTACCGCTTCATGCCGTGTACATACGGCCGGTGTTCGCTCTCGACCCTAAATTTTTCAAACAAATTATGATATTGAACAATATTGTAAAAATTAGTAGATTCTGGCAGTACGGGAATGGACCGATTGTTCAACTCGAATCACACTTGGTCTGTTCCCGTACTGCAAGAATCTACTAATTTTTCCTATTTTTATGATGATGATAATATACACTCATCATGGCATAAAAAGCTGTTCGTTTTTCTGAATGTAAACATACGTGGTCTATTCCCGTACTACAAGAATCTACTATTTGGTCTGTTCCCGTACTGCAAGAATCTACTATTTTTTACTACGATAACGAATTTTCCTTTATGTTATCGAAGAAAATATTAAAATCTAATAAATTGTTGCAGTACAGGAACAGACCAATTTTTTACTACGATAACACTTTTTTCCTTTGTGATATCGAAGATAATAGTAAAATCAAGATCTATTAATTGGTCTGTTCCCGTACTGCAAGAATCTACTAGATTTTACTATTTTCTTCGATAACATAAAGGAAAATTTGTTATCGTAGTAAAAAGTAGTAGATTCTTGCAGTACGGAAACAGACCAAATAAGGTCACCAAGATAGCAATCGAAATCGGAAAACAGCTGTTTTTTCTCAAGTCTAATGTCAAAAATTTCGACTTTGTTTACGTTTTCATAATGGAAGTCAATTCACATTAATGCATTTTGACAGCAAACTTGAGAGGTATCGATTATCAGCTGGTCTCCCTTGCAGTACAGGAACAGACCAACGGTATCACTGACAAACACATTCCTCTATGTCACCCTGTTATATCGATAAACGGCATGTTATCGAAACTAACAACTGAGCTAATAATTAACAAATAAAAATTTTCCGGTTTTATCTCTTTGATTTATTCTATCGTCATCAACGCCCTAGGTTCGATCGGTAAGTTTGTTAAACGCTAGCTTTTAACTTTCTTTTTAACGGCAACGAGATGACTTTCTAGTTAAAAACAACATCATCTCTCTTTTTATTTCTTTTATTTTTAGAACTCTGTTGTTTTCTGTTAATATAGGGGGTAATAATAATTAAGCAATCATCATCATGGGTCGTTTACTATACGGTCTAGGTTTAAGAATCATGAATTTCATGGTTGTTTTCTTAATTGTTATTCTTTTGCCCGGCTTGCCGCCACGTACCACATTTCCATTCAAAGAATTTTCGTAAGTCTGAAAAGCAGTAGTAGTTGTTGTTGTAGGAAAATTTTACTATTATTAAATTACATTTTGTAGAGTGGCACCGCCTAGACCTTTGACCGGTGCCCTAGAGCCCAACTATCATTTGGAGGGAGCCGAGCGCCTACTGGAAGGACGTGTCTATGGCCCTGAATGTTTGATTGCCAAGAATCGTGATATTTATATGGGCATACATGGCGGTGAGGTGATCAAAATAAATGCCGGTCATGTTACACATGTAACTAAATTGGGACAACCTTGCGGTAAGTTTGTGGAATTTAATTTTTCCACATGGCATTAACGATAATTTTCCCATTTCCCTTTATAGAAGATATTACCGAGGAATCACGTTGTGGCCGTCCCCTGGGTTTGGCCTTTGATACCCAAGGCAATAATTTGTTGGTGGCCGATGCCTACTATGGCATTTGGCAAGTCGATCTGGATTCGCACAAAAAGAAACTCTTGGTTTCACCACAACAAGTTTTGCCCGGCAAAGGTGTTGATCGTCCAGCCAAGCTGTTCAATGATGTCGCTGTCGACAAGCAGGGAAACATTTATTGGTCAGATTCTTCATCGGATTATCTGTTGCAAGATTTGGTTTACACCTCTTTGGTTAATCCCTCTGGACGGTGAGTAATTTGTATATTTCATATTGTCTTTCTCTTAATGTTCGGTTTACTCTCCTAAACCTACCTCTGCCTCTCACTCTCTGTAGTGGTTGGAAAAAGTGCTTTGTAATCTTTTGTTTGAACCTTTTTTTATTTTATATTTAATTTACCATTGTTTGTTGTGTTGATACGCTGGCAGGTTAGCGCTGCCAGCAGTTTCTGCTGCATACCATACTTTGTTGTCATTTCTTTTTTAAACAATCTTCGTAGATTCTTTGTTTAAATTCATAATGCGTTAGAAAGTTTTGAGGGGAGATGAAGAATTAAAATTAAAAAAAGAACTGATCAAATGCCGGTATTTGAACTTTTGTTGTTCTCGTTGTTGGTGTTGTTATTGTGATAAGATAACGTATTTAGCAAATGTTTTAAGAAAATTTAAATTAACTGCTTTCTATGTTTTTATTATATGCCAGAAAAGCTTCAGTGAGGGCTAGCTGCAGCTGCACTCCATAGCCATAACTGTTACTTTATCTATAAATAGCTACAACAACAAAAGACTTGAAAGTTTCATTTTTTTGCAATAGTTAACATTTTTTAATTTTTGCAAAATTGACATCATATTTATGTTAATGACTTTTGACACACTTTAGAATGGAAAAACATTTTTACACTTTAACCGGTTTTTCAAAATGGGCAAGGGGAATAGTTTAGTTGTAGATGAATATATAAATTTTGTACGCTTTCTTCTTAATTTTGTTTTAAGATATTCAAAACTCTTTAAAATTTTTTGGTTTTTGTTAGTCTCCATCGTTTTGCAACTGTAATTTAATTCAGTTGATAGAACATAGGTTAAGCCGGTTTATATGAGTACCTTTACGGTATAATTTGATTCGTAAGGGGGATATGGTGAATATGACATGAAAATGAAAAATGTCTTATTTGATATTTTAAACATTTTTCGTTGTGGAGGTAAAGCCTCATTGTATACGTAATGTTTAAGTTTTTTATATTAACAATTAAACGGTACTATGTGTGTAGACCCAAAATAACAAATTAACCTACATGCACCAAAGGTTAATGCATTACGTACGATGTATGACAATTTTAATGTCGGTGTTAATAGCTGCTGTAGAAATATAATAAACAAGTCAGGTGCTACTTTTTGTTGTTGAGCTTAAGGAAAAAAACATTTTACCCGTGGTTGAGTTTTTGATTCTGATTATAATGAAATGAATTGTTTTGAGGAAATTAACTTTTATGCGAATTTGTCATTATTAGGTATTATGTATATTTGTAGCTAGTTCGTTGTGATAATATGTTCGTTAAAAGCGTACTCGGCTGTATATCATCCACATCCAGCGATTTAGAGGCAATTATTTTCAAAGCTAAACCTTTCAAAGCTATAGATTCAGACGGAATTTCTATGTTCATGTTAAAGAAGAAGGCAAGGTTTTAGAATCTCTATTTTCTTCCGTGCCCCACTTTAAAGTGTCGAATCTACCCCGAAGGTACTTTCTATAGTTTTTTTTTCATTATACCCTTCAACACACTGTGGTACAGGGTATTATGTCTTTGTGCATTTGTTTGTAACAGGCAAAAGGAATCGAGATAGATCCATGGTTCCTTTTGAGAACTTTCTGAGTCCATTTATGCATGTCTGTCCGTCTGTTGATTTTAAACTAATCCGATTTGGATGAAATTTGGCACAATTCACTTATTTGGCCAAGGACGAACCCTATTGAAATTGGAGAAAATCGGTTCAGATTTAGATATAGCTCCCATATATATTTTCGTCCGAGTTTAGGTAAATTGTGTACCAAAGTCCCTGATTAAGTCGAGAATGACGTGTGCTAAGTTTCGTGAAAATCGGTTCAGATTTAGATATAGCTTCCATCAGGGACGTACGCAGAGATATAGATAAAGATTAAATATTTAAGTTCGTTCAATGACAATGTTCTTTCGAAAAGGCCACGTCTTTTAGGATACATATGTAGAATATACCCAAAGTGGTGAAGGGTATCATATAGCCGGCCCAGTCCGACATTCCTTACTGGTTTTTTTCTTCTATCAATCTTCTAAAAACATTATGTTCTGTATTTTTTTTTGTATTTTGCATGCATGTGCATTCAATAAGTTTATTAGCTAGAGATTTCAAACTTTGCGACAGTTATTTATTACGATATTAGATACCTATGTATAAGAAGCTAGCGATGTGCAACGAAGGCTTCATGTCGAAAACGCCAGAAAATTGCCGGTTCGAGCAACTTTTTCCATTTCAATTCTCTCCTACAAACAAAGAGTTGCTGCCAGTGAACTTGTCTAATCTACATTGGGATAAAGCAATGTCTATTGCAAGTTTTACTAAATTTGTGTTTAATTTCTTACAAGTTCGTTGTAATATCATTTACTAGAACATATCTTCCGCAAGGTTTCTGTGTGAATGACAAATTTAACAAATACTTGCAAAAGTTCATTCATAAGTGTCTTTAGTTTGGACAATCGGCTTTAGATCTTTCCAAGACGTTTAATAGTCAAGCATGCCGTGCTAATATCCGACAATCTCACCCTTCGGAATGTCGTGAAGTCTTGGGCAGCCAATTACCCTAATGTTAAATTCGCAATATTAAAATGAAAATTCCACAAAGCGCTGTTCTCCCTCTCAGTATTTTAAAGACTTAAGCTGCATTTTCCAACCGATGAGGCTGATATTTATTTTAAAAAGATTTTGAGAGGCCGTCTTATATACACATTTGTGCTGTGTATATAGGTCCATCTAAAAGTTTCGCTTCCTTTTCGGTATTAATAAATTTTAAACCTAATTTTCATAGACCCGTTGGAAAACTTCCAATTAGAGTATCTGGAGGAGGCCCGGACGATCTTAAAGTTTTTACTTGTTTTTTTTTTCATCTATCAGTATTGAAATAAAATTAATTCTTTTCTCTCTCTTCTTTTCAGTATCTTCAAATATGATCGCGTTAAGAACGAAAGCACTGTCTTAGCCGATGAACTCTTCTTTGCCAATGGTGTTGCTTTGAGTCCCCAGGAAGACTTTTTGGTTGTTGCCGAAACGGGTGGTATGCGTTTGATGAAACACTACTTAAAGGGTAGCAAGGCTGGACAAACTGAAGTGTTCGTTGAAGGTTTACCCGGTATGCCTGATAATTTGACACCCGACGCCGAAGGCTTGTGGGTACCATTGGTTATGGCTAGCGACAGCGAACATCCCTCAGGCTTCAATATTTTCTGTAATTTCCCCAGTATTCGTTTGTTCTTGGCACGTATGTTGACACTGTTTGAATTGCCCTTCAAACTAATCAACAATGCCTACCCGAATAAGATTGCTCAACGCTTCATCCATTTCATTGGTCATGGTGAGAGTATATTGTTGTTGGCACCCAAACGTGCCACCATTGTACGTGTTGATTGGAATGGTCATATTGTTGGTTCATTGCATGGTTTCGATAAGAGTGTGGGTTCTATTTCTCATGTCTTGGAATTTGATGATCATTTGTTGTTGGGATCGCCATTCAATCGTTTCTTGGGACGTGTTGCAAATCCTAAGCCAGCAAGGAAGGAACCTAATGTAAAGATTAATAATGTGCGTTATGAAGGTGTGGGTATTGAACCGGCTGTGAAGCCACCTAAAAAGGAGACTACCACCACCACAGCTAAGCCAAAGGTGAAGGCCACAACTACCACCACTACTACAACTACACCAAAGCCTACTACTACAACTACCACGACCACAACTCCTAAGCCCACAACTACTACTACAACCCCTAAGCCAACAACAACAACTACCACACCCAAACCTACCACAACAACAACAACTCCCAAGCCAGTAACAACAACTCCTAAACCCACAACAACTACTCCCAAACCAACCACAACAACCACTACCACCACTCCAAAACCTACAACTACCACAACTCCCAAACCTGCAACAACTACAACACCAAAGCCTAGCACCACCACAGCTAAGCCCACAGCCAGTACCACCCGGGTACCTCCCAAACAACCAGCTCCCGTTGAAGAAAACATTCCTCTCGATACACCCGCCCCCAAACCCGAGAAATTGAAAGTGATCAACAAACAGGGTGAACATGTTGAACTTTAAAAAGATTCTCAACACTCCAACAAACAAATAAATGAATCAGCAAATCAACAACAAGAACGCTTTAAGCTTTAGACATGGGATTCTATGGAACAACACGATGACAACGACATTACCTATTTGAATAGCTTAAAGTTAAATTTCTGTTAACAATTTTTTATATAGAAAACAGCCACAAACAACAAAAACAAAAATATGTACATAGATTTTTTAAGCAGAAATTTTAGTCAATTTAATATAACAACAAGAAATATTAAGTTTATGCTGAACAACCTGAGTCGACAGCAAATTAAGAGGTTCCCATGGTCGACTGAAAAAAAAATTATTGAAAAAAAAAACCAATCAACATAGATTTTTTAAGTTCGAAAGTTGATCCCCTTGCGATCAATTTACTGAAAGACAGAAGAGTTACATTTACTACATTATTTAATTTATTAACGTCGATTTCTTTTTATATATAGATAGAGATTCCCAAACAAAACCTATTTTTCGGTTATGGTAAAACATTCCAAATTATATATTTAGAATTTCATTAAATACTATTATTAATTTTTCGAATTATTACATCCTTTTCTTTAGTATTGTTATTTCTATACATATTTAGAAATGTATTAAATACACACACACATCCCAAGAGAATGAAGTCTTGCTCTTTTTTTTTGTACTATTTCCAATAATAAAAAAACGTAACAAAGATGAAAATATAAAACGAAACAGAAAAAATATATTTTTCTTAATTAAAAAAAACAAAAACAACATCAATCTTTTTTATTTTACTTGTCTACATTTGAAAACCGTCTACTATTACAACTAATTTATTCTATTAAGGACGACTTGGTGGTTCTTTGGCTTCAGTCCATTCCCATTCCGTATAGTGTACACATTCTCCTCTGCTGCCCGAAAATAATTTCGATGTTGGGCAACGATTCAGTTTCGCCGGCTTACCTTGTTCACCACATTGCCAATACGCTGTGGGATCCCAAAAATGATGGAATGCTCTGTTAATTTCTTCTAACGTCTTGCAGCCGGGTTCACCGCTATATTCACCATGATGTTTGTCTTTGGACGACATTTGCTGGAAATAAAATAAGTAAATAAATAATTTATCTAATATTAAAATCATTTATAAAGAAAAGGTTGTATCGATTAATGTATTCCATGATATAACCGTCATCAAATTTCATTTAAAGTATGCCTCAAAGGCCCTATGTTTTCCGAATTTGTTCATATAGTTCAAAATTAAGTTGATCTTTTTGAGATTTAAAAAAATATCGTTCTTTCCACAATGTTGTACATTTTCTGCTTGTATGTTTTTTATGCTCTAAGAAAATTACAGACACTCAGGTTGGAAAACATGGCTAGGAACTTGAATAAACCGGAAATTATGCAGGACAATCGTATGGGGACTATGTCATATTAACCCTTTATGGCCCAATGTTGCCCACAGGCAACAACATGTTTTAGAGCTTATATTTAATATGTAGCCAGTAGATATATATTCTTTGGATTTCATACGTCAAGACCTAATTATGGACGACACTTATCAAAAGAAAAATCTAAAAAAATCAAATTTGTTGTACAGTTATGAGCTTTTCAATATGTAGAAGAGGGCACAAATGTGTACAGTACTAATTTGTTTATACAGTCCAAATTATTTAAATCGCTTCGTATTCGAATTATACGAATTCTGTCATCAGAATTACTTTTGATTCTTGTAAAAATAAACAAAGAGAATAATTTAAAGCAATTTTCTGTGGATTTTGCATTTGGTTTACTTGATATTGGACTTTTATTTTTTAGAATGTTTGTACTGTATCTCCCGAATGCAAGGATGTAGCGATGTCAAATTTCGTTCATATCCTATTTAGGATACTTCCATTAAATCTCTGAACAGAAACTTGTTCTATGTTTACGGAAAAAATTCGGGCCACAAAGGGTTAACGGCCTATTATTTTGTGCAAAAGTTGTTGATTCACTTGGAACCCGGAATTTCAAATTATAGCGATCAAAAGCTTTAAAATTTGACATTTGGTGGTAATTGTGGGTACGTATTCGGTGTACTTAAAAGGATAAATGTCGGTTCAAATTCTGGTATTGACCACATATAACAGTATACCCGAATTTCGATATTGTGGGGATTTTAAGCACGTGTTGCAAATAGGAACAAAAATTTTGTACCAAAAAAAAAAAAAAAAAGTTCGAAAATGGGGAATATCGGTCCACTTCTCCCACACAAAAAGATCGCAAATTTGCGGAAGGATAATTTTATTTAGTTTATTTTTTGAATCAAACTTTGCACAATATATTTATCAAGCCTAAATCAAGTATGAATATGGGGTCCATCGTCCACTCCTCGTACCTCCAATACAATGGGCCAAAGTTTTCAATATATAATATCAAGCGAATGTAATGTCCAATTTGATGTAGAATACGCACATCGTAATATTTCTTTCAAAAATCCGAAGATGGGGAATATCAGTCCACAACAAATTTGGAAGTTTGTAAATCTTTTATGAACGGAATATTCAAATATCATCAAAACTTTGCACATGATAATATTTTTAACTTGACTAGAGCGAATACGAATATGGGGACCAACCGTTAACCGAATCTGGTGCCTCCCCACGAAGGGTCAACATTTTGACCAATTTTGAACATTTCGAATATTTTTTTCTAAACTTTAATAAATGGGACCCGTCCACTTCTTCTGGTAACTCCCCAACAGAATGGTAAAAAATGAATTGAAAATTATTTATATGATATCACGCGGGCTATCCGAGTTGTACTAAACTTTGCACAACCTAATAGTTTAACCATGGCTGTATAATATCGTTCCACATTCCTCCCCCACAAAGGTTCAAAATTTCGAAAACATGTACATATCTTATTAAGGGAAGCGAATATCCAATTTCATTGAAATCGTTAAAAGTAATGCTTTCAACGTATTTAGATTATGTTCCAAAATGGTACTCGTCGGTGTATTCCTTTCTTTAAAATAATTACATATTTCGAACCATGATCAAGGTATAGACGTCATATAATTTTCGTTATATAAATTTTTTAAAATAAGTTTTTTTTTAACCGAATTGCCTCTAATTTCATATTTTGAATTCTGAATTGATTGCCATACCTAGCAAATATCATAAATCGATCGGTCGATCGTTGGGTATAGCCCCCATATAAAGGTCTACACACTTTATAGATATCTTCATGGCTCATAGACGGATTTCCAAATACATGTAACTTTATTTTAGAATTACGAAGTGGCTGAAATTTGACATTTCATGGCCTTGGTACGGAGTTTCTACATAGACCCCATACAATCACCAGACCCCATATTTTGAATGTTAATTTTGTAATTAATTATTGCGCTTCCGAAGAAACTGTATATTTCATTGTTACGAGATTAAGAAAAAAGTTCAATCAACTTAGGATCAGAAGGAGAATTTTTTACCCAAGTCAACACATATAGTTGCTCGTTCTATTTTTATACGGAGGATATACTAAGTTTATTTTTCCGTTTGTAACTCATAGAAATAATCGTTTCCGACCTTATAAAGTTCGTATATAACTGATCAGCGTAAAATTCTAAATCCATCTGTTCATTTAGCATCAAAACGAATACAGATAGATCACCAACATATTGTATAGAGTTGTCTTTTGTCTGCAGGGAGGTCAAGTCAAAAGTGCCGTTATATGGCAATTTTCGTAATTGTCAATTTTCGTATGGCCAATTTTCGTAATTTTGGGTTTTTTGAAGGGCGTTTTCGGCCGAGTTCGCTGTCAATATTATCGGGTAGCCCTTATATTAAGATATCCCCAAACTGTCGGTATTTTAGGGGAGATTGGGGACGTTTTTCAATAGATTTAGCTGTAATTTGGTATGTTGGGTTCTAATTGGGTATCAAATCTTCCCGCCAAAAAACTATTTTTTTTGGGTAGCCTCCAAAATGTCGGTATTTTTACCGAATTCACTGTAATTTGGTATTTTTGATGCCTATTCGGTAACAAATCTTCATATAAAAACCAGTAAGCGCAGCTATATTAAACGACGGGCCTCAGATCTATATTATGGGCAATATTTCGCGATATGTACACCCTCTCGACCTATTAGAGGTCACTAGCTCCTCTTTAGCATTTTCTTTTTAATCTTGTTTTCATTTACGTCTAATACGAACATTTTATCAAAACAGTTCTTCAAGTGAATTGGCCAGATTTCCTTCTCCGTATACAATTTTAAATGTTTGGCTTGTAATATTGGTCTCTAGATTGACTAGAAAACGAGACAAAATAAAGTTTGCGATCCATTGAATACCATCTGATCGTTGTCGAAAATTAAAGGCGTCTTCCTTGAGCACAACCGGAACTTCATGTAAAATTTCAAAACGATCAGCCGGACATTTCCGCTACCCCTCGTCTGGTAATGATTATACGAAACAATATTAAAATAGGTAGACACCTGTACATATACATAAGCATTATTGGCATCACTCCTCTTGGATAAACTGTCAATTATCCCGACTTTGTCTCCCTGGAGTAAATATATAGGTACGGCTAAATTTTGGGACAGCTAAATTTTGGCCATGATTATTCCTTGGTCAAATCACCTTCTCCGTGTAAAAATTTCGTGATGTTCAGGTCATATTGAGGGCTCAGGAGTGACCAAAAAAAAAACAGATAAACATTAAATTGTTGGTCCTTCCCTATAAAATGGTCAATGTTTTGCTGAAAAATCATATCATGCAAACAGAGCATTTGATTTAAGGGAACCCCCCCCAATTCTCGATTTTTTATTTTTAAGATTTTAAATGGGCTGGTAAATGAATACCAATGCTTGTTAAGGTTTGTAACATGGCACATATATATTTGAAGATTTAAAAAGGAAGAAAAATAATTTACCAAAATTTTTTGTTGTTGTTTTGTTGTTGTTTTTTGGATTCAAAGAAAGGTCCTTATTTTCGATGGCGGGCATGATAACTCCTCACTGGAACATCGGAATCCGA